TGTACGGACCTTGCTTCAATTCAAATTCACGGCTTTTGCGATGCGTCCAAGAAAGCCTACGGAGCATGTCTGTACCTCCGGAGTACCACATTCAGCGGATCAGTGGAAGTTCGTCTCATCACAGTGAAATCCAAAGTTGCACCTCTAGAGGATCTCAAGCGGAAGAAAAGGGAACAAACTACACCACTGGTTTCGTCCATAATACACAGCATAGAGATGAGACGCGTATTGCTTTCCTGTCGTATCCTGAGCACGAAGAAGCACTAGCAGTCCTGGTTCTACTGGCACAACGAGAATCGTTTCCGATGGAATACGCTGCATTGGAGAAAGGAAAGTCTATCAGCCCGTCGTTAAAGTTGAACAAGCTCAACCCTATCCTCATCGATGGAGTATTACGTGTAGGAGGTCGATTAGCAAAGGCACCAGTATCAGCAAGTTGGAAGCATCCGATAATCCTGTGTCACCGTCATCCGTTGGCCAAGTTGGTCCTAGACTATTATCATCGCAAGAACTTCCATTCTGGGATGCAGCTGCTTGTGTCCACAGTGCGGGAGCGATTCTGGGTAACACGCATCAGAAGCCTAGCCAACACTGTCATTCATGAATGCGTCCAGTGCTTCCGTAACAGACCGAAGGTTTTGGATCAGCTAATGGCTGACCTTCCATCCGAACGTGTATCTCCAGCGCCACCATTCCTAAACGTAGGCGTGGATTACTGCGGACCGTTCCTGATTAGCTATCCAATCCGCAGATCCTTCCCTAGGAAACACTTTGTCGCAATCTTCGTCTGCCTTGTAACGAAGGTAGTCCATCTTGAACTGGTGAGCGATTTGACCAGTGAAGCCTTTCTTGCTGCCTTCAAACGATTCGTGGCACGCAGGAGAAGACCAGCCCTAGTCATGTGCGACAATGCCCTGAACTTTGTTGGAGCCAAGCGTCAGTTGGAGGAATTACGGCAGTTATTCATGGATCAAGGATTCCACAATTCTGTTGCACGCGGAGCAGTAGAGGAAGGAATAGAGTTTCGCTTCATTCCGGCAAGATCTCCAAATTTCGGCGGCTTATGGGAAGCCGTGGTGAAATCGTTCAAAGGGCATTTCAAGCGCACTATCGGCGACAGAGTGCTCCAGCATGACGAAATGTCTACAGTGTTGCCACAAATAGAAGCCATCCTGAATTCTCGACCGCTCACTCCGATCAGTAACGACCCGTCGGATTTCGAAGCGTTAACTCCTGGACACTTTCTCGTCCAGCGACCATTAACAGCGATTGCAGAACCTTTGTTGGAAAATATTCAGCACAATCGGCTGTCTATGTGGCAGCGAGCTCAGGACTATGTTCAGCAAATCTGGAAGAAGTGGTCTGTCCAGTATCTTTCCGATCCCCACAATAGAACAAAATGGACCCGCAAGCGCGATAACATCTCCATCGGTACCTTGATTCTGTTGAAAGAGGACAACCTCCCGCCTCTGAAATGGCAGCTAGGACGTGTGTTTGACATCCATGCTGGCTCAGATAGAAACATTCGCGTAGTTACTGTCAAAACGCAAGACGGTCTGTACCGAAGGGCAATTTCCAAAATTTGCATCCTACCGATACGTGACAACTTCGATCTTTCTGCTTCCGAGCAAAATTAAACTCGTGCTTCAGGGCGACCAGAACTAACCACTGTCAACACCATTTTCCAATTCCGGAAATCCGGAACATCTTGAGGTCTACCAAGTCCAGTCCATCCGTCCGTAATTCGCTGATCCATCATTGGTGATCGGCATCCTGTATCGTTCTGCATGTGTGAAGCTCACGGTGCTGTCCTGTCTGTCATTACGATACGTTCCTGACTTTGTCGCAATTCCTTTCCGTAAAGTAGGAAGGTGATGATTTTCAACGACGCGTTGATGGATAAGGGGAATCCATGGCACCACAATTCGATGTTCGCCCAAACTGGAGCCTCGCTGAGCATCGTCATCGTTTTGGTGGTCAACACATCCGTTTTTCCAATTAATTCATCCGTGTGATATGGAATCATGGTGCTTCGGCGCCCGCGGAGGCCAGGAGGCCTCCGCTCCATGCAAGTCGATTTATAGTTGGGTTAAATAGTTGAAAAAGCACCCTCTCATTTTTTAGATAATTCTTTCCGTTGCCAACCCGTGGACACACCCGTGTCAGACCTCAAGTCAGTCAGTCGAAGAAGAAGATCGAAGTCATTCCATGCCAAGTTCCGGCAGTAGTTGGGTTGTAGCAGTCGTCCAGCAGTAGTAGCAGTGTAGCAGTATCAAGGAGGAGAAGTTAGTCCACGTCATTGACGTCGTGGAACCGGCAGCAGTATCAAAGAAGACAAGTGTTTAGATTAGATTGAAATCACTGAGATTCCAAGGTGAGCGGTATGTTTGAACATAAATAGAAGCACCCTACCACCAAACATGTTCCACACGAAATCGTACTTCATCTACTCTCACACAAAGCTCTCACGATCCTCTCTTATCAGCTAATCTCCTTTCCACGAGTAGATTGTAGGTACGAGTGAACTGCTGAGAGGGGCAATAAATTAGTTATCCAAAAATCGCGCGCGTACACAGATGTTTTTTTTATCATTATTCCTGTGACTTTTTTTTGAAGAAGAATAAATTCCGTTCCCGTTGCAAATAACCACAATTAGTGATTCCCTACGGTGAAGATTAAAGTGTAAGGTCCGAAATCCGGTCAATTTGTGATCCTGTGCGAACATTACTAAAGTTTTCTAGCCGCTCCGTCTGTCACTTTGTTTATGGTTCTAGTAATTAAGCGTTTTTCAAAAGTTTAGTGAGCATTTCCCAAATGATAGGTACAAAAGACCCTGTGAAATTGTGAATACCCCAATATTATTTTAAAGACAAATGTTTATGCTTTTAACTGCATAGCGAGTTTCTTAACTGCGTCAATTCAAATACCTATTATCGTCTTTAATTGATGTCCTGAGCACTCAATCGTAACCAAACGATGCCCTAAAACATAATGCATCATCATACAAAAAAAAAAAAAAAAACGCTCAGCGGCTTGAACTATTCTTTGCTGATAATAGTGCAGACAAATAGACGCATTTCTTTGAACAACTGTGCTTAAAATATCGAAGCAGAATTCAGTAACGACACCTCGTGAGCAATCCATGCACATATACACACACACTTTCTCACATAAACTTCATCGCACGTAGTTGTTTTCATTAATCGGAAACATTCTCAAATTGCGAAATATTTTCCCGATGAAAAAAAAAATCACTGACACAATTGCACTTTGACAAGTTCTATAGAAATTTCAAAGGGATCCGATATCCGATACACAGCAAAAAAATAATTTTGATTTCACATCAAGGTGGATGCACTTCAATCGTGTCAAAAATATGGTGTAATATTACATGCCAAAAAGGACAAAATTATCATTAATACAGTGCATGAACTGACATTACGCTGCTTTTACTGCATTAGTTTATTTTTTTATTTTTGATTGAAGTGCATCCTCTTGGATGTAATAATAAAATATATTTTTTGCTGTGTAGGTAATTCGCTTAATTAATCATATGCAAATTGATCGTTAAATAGTGATCCAAAATGAAGTTTCACGTCTGTTTGTCTGTGATAATTGGTATTGTAATTCGTGAAATCCATGACACTTTTCTTTATGCTGCGTTACTTATAGTATTTTCACTGACATATTGTAGCTACAAAATGTTACTGAAACGTCCCCTTTTCATACTAATCTGCAATTAAACACACATGTAATTCTAAAAAATCGATTACTTTCCAAGAGCTGATCATAGTTTCTACTGAGACACAGTCGTGTTCGTGCCTTTGGGGAAATTTGGTTAGACATAATAAATAGAAAACATGCGTGTTCTTGGACCTGGTCCTTTTATTGTTTATTGTTGGTTATGTTTTGTTTTTTTTCTTTTTTGAAAGGTAATACACCTTATACCACCTGTTCAAGTTTGACATAGAAAAGACTGTTTTGCGTTTGTTTTTTTATTTGAATCTTATTACTATGATTGGCCGACTTTTACTGGAATGTCATTCCATGCTGAGATGTTTGGGAGATATAGGCTAGAAGGTAGGGTTTTGTTGTATTGTGACATAGAAGGGAATGTTCTGCTAGAAATGCGTTGATTTCCGTAAGTGGCAATTTGATCCTTAAATGCTGTTTAACCGAAAAGTTAGTAAAAATTCTTCTAATACTTTCCCAGTGACTAAGGATTGTATGTGTTTCACAGTACAAACTATTAGGGCTTATTAAACTAGGCTTAGGTTTAAAGGTGGTTGGTGGCTAGTGACAGCTGACACAACGCGCTGCCAGTTAAGCTCACGTTTCGTCTCTTCGAGACACTAATGTACTAAAGAACACACACACAGACTGTATTTTTCGTTTGTTTTTGTTTTCGATTTTCAATCACTATTGAGCAAAGCGTATCCCTAAGCGCGGGTCTGGTGTTCGAAGCCGGGTGCAATGTGATTTTTTTGCGTTCCGTTGGTGGTGTTTCCGGCATTTGTTTGCACTATCTCGCTAATGTGGTGCACAATTAGATCAATCGCAACTGTAAAAACGATACAATAAAGCAAAAACAACAGTGGGAAAACAGGAAGTAGCTTGTAAACAGAGCGTACACTATTAGGAGGAAAAGCATCCGCGAAAAATCGTGGCATTTTGCAGCGCAGTGTGGGTGTATGTGTGCGCGAGTTTGAAGATAGATAAATGGTGCAGAACCATATATAGGAGAAAAGGAAGAGCTAGTAGAGAAACAAGATATGTTGGAGCTGCAAACATGTCGAAGGAAGCTGACATTCAACATTGCCGAAGGATATTCGAAAATTGCAAAACTATTTAGATTGTGTGCACTAAGCACACCGCACTTAGTTTTTTTTTTGGAATTCAATGGTTCAAAAATGAGTTCAAAGCAAACATCAACGGATGAGTCAGCAAGTATATCACGACAGTATGCACAACTATATTTAAAAAAAGTCATCAATACATACCAGTGTTGTCGGCTCCTCGTGGGATGATCACATCTGCGAATTTTTTGGTCTGCAAGTGAGACAGAAATCGTTGAGTGTAATGCCAATAAGCTGCACTAATACGATCATATGAAACTTACTGGTGAGCAAAACTCTTCGAAAGCGGGTTTCACAAACGTCATGTAAGCATTCAGAACTTGGTCCAAGTCTCGTCCTCTTTCGTTTATGTCTCTAGGAACTGTCGAATATGAAGATAAGACATAATTACGGCATTGAATATAATAGGGTTAGGATTTAATTTTTGCCATACCAAGTACAACCCGCACTTAATCTCTATTTTTTTAATGTTTTTTTTTAAGACCTTGGATATCGTTGTTGCTACTCCGTTTCTAATCAGAACAGTGGATTTCACATAGAACCACATAGATGGCGCTCGGGATTGGCTTATCCATCTGCAATGTGCAGATTGCTGTATCGACGATATGTCTTCCGCACGCAATCATCTCTTCGTAGAAATCCAAAGCGTTTCTGGTCGTTTGTAAACTCTAAAAAGAACGAAGTCGGTTTTCCATTGTTGTCAGTTCATCTCGGTGAGCAAACCGCTGAACCTGAAGCGGAGAAATGCCACCTTTTTGCTCAACATTTCATGAGTTCGTTCAATGAATCTTCTGGCTCACTAAATCAAGTCACGATTGATATAAGCGATTCTCCAACAGATGCATTTGAGCTCCGTCCGTTTCACATCACTGAACATACTGTCAATCTAGCTCTCGTTTGCTGCCGGGCCAGACGGCATTCCTGCGTCCGTTCTGAAGCTGTGTTCGGAGTCGTTGCTCACTCCCTTGGTGAAGTTATTTAATCGGTCACTACAGGAGAGTAAATTTCCTGAGGCGTGGAAATTTTCGTATATGTTCCCCGTCCACAAGAATGGCAATAAAAGGAATGTTCATAATTACAGAGGAATCACATCACTATGTTGCTGCTCCAAAGTATTCGAGATCATCATCAATGAGGCGCTCTTCAGCTCTTGTAAAAATTACATCTCCACGGCTCAGCATGGATTTTACCCAAAACGGTCAGTTACATCCAATTTGACCGAATTCGTGCCGCTCTGCGTTCGGACAATGCACTGTGGTCCAGGAAGCAAAATTAGGTGGAATAAATTAATAACTCGAAAAATATTAGAGATAGCGTATTGACGTCTTCAAAACATTTTCTTGTGAGCTTTATTTGCGTTGGTTGCAAAAGTGTCCTAAACGCCAAATTCTACCAGCAACGTAATTTGGCCTCTAACTTTTTTATTTCAATAGATAGAGAAACTAAATATTGTACAATGTTGTGGATTATAAAAAATTAGAAAACTTTCTTGAACATCGTTTTTGTTTATCTCTTCTATATTTGGAGATATAAGCCATTTAAAAAAACAAAAGCAAAAAATCAGTTTTTCTGTCATATTTTTTTTAAATATCACTTTTTCGGCCTGCTATGTTCAGAACGATTATAGTTAATTTTAAAATACAGATTTGCTCCAAAGACACTATACCAGTAAAAGTCTCCTGTCAAAAGTTATCGTCAGTTTTGTAGTCTTTTAGCTCAAATTTTCAAGCGTAATATTTCAAAATGGCGCAAGTACAACCGATAGTGATACATATCACTTTAAAAAGCATAAGAAGTATATTTTAGCAACTTTTGGTGAAGGTAATTTTTGATTTTTTTAAATAAATGCACTTTGAAAATAGAGGTTTTATTCCATAAATCTTCATTGTTCGGACTTCTTTCGAGTATCAAAGAACCAGATCGATGATACACTATTTTGTGAATACATTTATATAATATATAGCATATAATCTTCAAAATAGCATAAGAAATGGAACCCAAGCAAGACTGCTAATGCCCTTAACATAAACAAGAATATTATTTATAGGTATGCGTATTTCATATACAAACAGACGAATTTGAAAATTTTAATCAATCATTCACTGCGGTATGAGTTAAAGCAAGCGTTGATTTTTGAGACGCTGAATTGTTCATTTCAAAACGTTGCAAAATGAGAAAAGGTATTTTTTTTTCAAGTGCTTTCATTATATTAACTCAGATTTTATTTATCAGCGATTCGTTTGGCCGATCTTACCCTTCTTCTCATGAACGGAGATAAGGTAAAAGATTTATTGGAATTTGTAAAGAAAAAGTTTTCTGGAGAAGAGCTGGACGTAAGTTTGGTGCAAAGGAAGCTTACCCTGGTGATGCTGAAGTTTCAGAAACTTTGGCGAGCAGCTGAAAGGAAACGTGAACGATTTTTGAAGATCAATGACGCTTGGCTTGGAGGAGAATTTATTGTCGATGTCCTTTCGCCCTCAAAATCATTCGTTGGTCGTCCTTCTAAGCCGTTCAAAGATGCACACAGAAAATCAAAGAAAAGCAGGGTTCAATCTCTTTTTAATCAATTTTCGGCAGAAGAAATTTCGTTTGCTGCAGAAACATCTGTAGCCTTCGCAGGGTTTCGTAAAGCCGGCAAATTGATAGGAAAAATAGCACAAAACCCCGAGACGGCAATCGAGCTACAGCGTTCAGCAGATCGATCAAAACACGGATTCGAAGCTCTTACAGCAGAGGAAGCTCTTGCATTCTTATGCAAAAACGAGTTTTCAAAGGCTCAGTACATGAACATCCGGCAGATGAATATAAGCAAGGGCGTGGACATGTACCCAGCTTATAACAAATTGGTTGAAGCTAAGAAACTATGCTATCCTTCAGGTATGTTAAACATAGAGTCAATAATATTGAATAATACCTATATAATGATATATTAGGTCTCTCTATCCATTCATCTGTTGCTGAAGTGCCTTTACAGGAACTTGTGGAGCACACCACGAAACGGTTTTTTGCAAGCGTGATGAGCAGAGCGACGTCCCAAAAGGTGGTACCATACGACGATTATACACTTATCTACAAATGGGGTTGTGATGGGAGCAGCAACCATGCTAGATATAAACAATGTTTTTTCGAGGAGGACGAGGATGAAGAGTTACAGGAATACAGCGATTCCCATATATTCGCGTTTTCATTAGTTCCTTTAAGGTTAACTGGACATCGTAAAGCAGAAGAAACCCAAGAAATTGTTTGGAATAATGATCTGCCATCGTCAATTTCGCTTTGCAGACCGATAAAATTGATAGTTGCAAAAGAGTCAACCGAGTTGACAAAACGGGAGGTTTCGCTTATGAATACGCAAATACAAAATTTGATGAATGTGGAAGTAATGTTGGAGAACCGATCTGTTTGTGTAAAACCCCAAATGATGTTCACAATGCTGGATACAAAAGTCGTAAATGATTTAACCGGAACGAACTCTCAATCATGCTACATTTGTGGAAGGTCTGGAAAATGTTTGAACGATTCCAGAAGCGATCCAGATTCTGATGATCCAGCCAAGTACAAATTCGGATTTTCTCCTCTGCATGCATATATTAGAACGATGGAAATGGTTCTGAAAGTGTCGTATAGACTGGCCCTTGATAAACCTACATGGCGTGTAAGCAAGGCAAATGAAGCGGTGAAAGCTAGAGAAATCGAAATTCGAAGCAAGATACGTGCGGAATTAGGTACGTATGGTTAGCAATTTGCAACATTATATTTTTGTTTTCGAAGATATAAGATTTTACCAGATTTTGTCCTTTTTAACAGGATTACGCATCAGTGAGCCTATGCCTGGTGGCGGAAATTCTAATGACGGAAATACCGCCCGGAAGTTTTTCCGTGAATGGAAAGCTGCAGCAAAAATTACCGGTCTCAATGAAAATCTGTTGGAGCGATTTCATATTCTGCTTACTGTAATTAACTGTAAGTCGAAGATTAATTATAATTCTTTTGAAATTTATGCTGAAGAGACTAGAGCTTTATACCAGAAATTATACGGTTGGTATGCATTGTCTCCAACAGTGCACAAATTGCTAGTCCATGGGGCTGGCATTATTAAATACACGGTACTTCCCATTGGAATGTGCAGCGAAGAGGTTCAGGAGACGAGGAATAAATGCATCCGGAGATATCGCGAGCTCCACTCCCGAAAATTCAACAGAACGGTTAATATTACGGATGTATTCAACAGATTGCTTTTATCATCAGATCCTGTGATTTCATTAAGCAATAGAGCATCTTTGTCTTTGAACAATCCTGCACTACCAGATAAAGCCAAGCAGTTAATTTTTGAAAACTAGCTTTATTTTTTATGTATTTTTTGTTTTTGGTTTAGTCAGTAGCATATAACTAGTTGTAAATATAAATATTTACTGTAAATCATCCATCTGGTTCTTTAATACTCGAAAGAAGTCCGAACAATGTAGATTAATGGAATAAAAACCCCTATTTTCAAAGTGCATTTATTTAAAAAAATCAAAAATTACCTTCACCAAAAGTTGCTAAAATGTACTTCTTGATATGCTTTTTAAAGTGATATGTATCACTATTGGTTGTATTTGCTCCATTTTGAAATATTACGCTTGAAAATTTGAGCTAAAAGACTACAAAACTGACGATAACTTTTGACAGGAGACTTGTACTGGTATAGTGTCCTTGGAGCAAATATGTATTTTAAAATTAACTATAATCGTTCTGAACATAGTAGGCCAAAAAAGTGATATTTAAATAAAATATTACAGAAAATCACAGCTCACAAGAAAATGTTTACAAGACGTCAATACGCTATCTCTAATATTTTTCGAGTTATTAATTTATTCCACCTAATTTTGCTTCCTGGACCACTGTGCAATGGACTCTGGCGGACAAATCGACGCGGTTTACACTGATCTCAAGGCTGCATTTGACCGAGTAGACCTCAACATTCTTTTAAGCAAGCTTGAGAAACTCGGAGTGTCTGGATCCTTCATCTCGTGGTTCATATCTTACCGTACGAACCGTTCGCTTTGCGTTAATATTGGAGCTTCTCGTTCTGAAGTGTTCACGAACGTTGCCGGCGTTCCCCAAGGAAGTAATCTGGGACCCCTTCTGTTTTCGCTTTTCGTCAACGAGCTTTCGTGTCTAGGTACTGCCACCTGGATGCCGGCTATTCTACGCTATTCTGATTGTGAGGAGTTGCAGCTGATTGTGGATCGTATGCAGAGTTGGTGTCTTGACGCTCAGCATCAACAAGTGCAATGTGAGATCATTTCACCGCAAACAAAACCCGATAATATTTGATTAGAGAGGATTAGCCAGGTCAAAGATTTGGAAGTAACACTC